TAGAATAAACCCGTAGTCCACTCTCTTTCAAAAGTAATTCAAATTAAGTCCTTTTTCTTCCATTTTAAGCCCTGTACTTTATGGAAATAGGAGTCGCAGTCCACAGAGGTAGTTTTCTAGGATAGCCCTCATGTTTATAATCAAAATTACGTATAGGTCCATTTTAAAAACTACAAAACTGCCACTATCTTCTGTAGGCCATAAAATCTTCGTTTTAACTCCGATTTGATCCGTTCAAGTTGCGTTAGGATCGTAATTGAGTAATCTACATGTTCATACTACTGTTACATATATTTTCAACTTTTAAAATTCAAGGTTAGATTTAATCTATTATTTTACTAAAGGAAATCTTGTTTAATTCATAACTTTTTTGTTTTAACTCCTATTTGAGTGATTCTCGCGTCTGCGTGTTCGTAGCATCACGTAGAACAGTTTTAAAACCTTTTAAATTTTTTATAATGTTTGGTGTACTGTTCTAACTAGCTTATATTTGGCTGCTATGCATGCATGTATGGATGCCTGTGTGGTGCTCTTTGATCTTAGTAGCGAGTGAGTTTTGTGTTGGTGATCTAGAGTAACTCTTTGAAGATCAAGACCAGCAGCGATACATTGAATTAAGGCAAGTATAATATGAGGCTCCTTGCTACCTATTCACTTTAATGCAATCTCAATTCATATGCATATGTTAATGAACCGCTTTTAGTCTATTTACCTTGATATTGATTATCCTGTCCTTGAGTTGCCTATGGGTTTTGCATGTGGGTAGTATGCTCAGTTTGCTCCAACTAATGTTGATTAAAGAATACAATTAAAGATATATGCAACATGGTATTAAAAGATGCTTTTTAGCAACATGGAACTAAGGGGGCTAGAGCATTGGGCCTTTTCCTAGGGTGCTCTAGTTTCTCTGTATAAGGACTCATCTTTAAGTGGCAACCCAGGACTTACAGAACAACTATGAGGACCACATAGGTCTGGTCTTAGTCCAGCACCTTGGTCTTTCTAGTTTGTAGCAGTTTATCGAAAGGGCAAGAGGGGCATACCAGGCTGGGTATGGGCCTCATCCCTAGGGTGTGTATTATGCTACGAGTATTAGTGCCATTTCTGGAAATGACTCTATAACACTTGGGAGATGGAATCCTTAGCGACTGCTCCTTATTAGAACGATTGAGGAAAAGCTTCATAGTGTACCCTGCCTTCTCACTTCGGAAGTGTTTTGGGAGTAATTAACCCAGGCATATGGGCAACACGACTCATGGTGAAAGTGTATAACCTCTAAAACTGGTATATCAGCCGTGCTCACGGACACGAGCGGCATGGGTACTTACTAAGTAGTTGGTTACTCGAATAATTTGGGTTATGATTAAAATTATTGATATCTCTAATTATTCATATTTAGGAGCCTAAACAAAACTTAATAACTTATGATTAATAATAAAATATGACCAACTAAAAGTGCTTACCGTAGTTCAGCCATGTCAAGCCTTTTGAGCCTGCATCTCCTCATGTTATGCTTGCTAAGCGGTAGTAGCTTACGCTTGTTTTATTTCAATACTTTGGCAAAATCCTAGATGGGCACCAGATGGAGGTTCTTCAGTGGAGTTTTCCAAGAGGTGTTAGGCTTGTGATCAACCAATTGACGATTCCTGTGGTGTTGGAGGCTTTGCTAGAAGAATAGAGTTATAGTATATACTGTAAAGTAAGATTATGTCTTTTGTAGTGAATATTTATGCGCTATGTAATAAATGCATTAACTTTGATATTACCCCTTCATTTGTAACTATATGTGTGAATTGAATTCCTGGGCACACATATGGTGTGTATCTGGTTTTGTCCTTAAAACCTGGTGCTACATAATTGGAGGGTAATGGTTTGCAATATATATTACTGCAATGGTGTGCAATATATAAATTGTCCATACATGTTTGGCTCTGATCTATGGACTAGATGAGTCTAAAAAATTCACATAGCCAACATGCTCGGTTGTAAAACGGGAATAGTACCAATGAACTACTTAGGGAGTCCAGTTAGTGATGACACAACAAGAAATTTAGCCTTGTATAACATTTTGAGAATGACAAAGCACATATTTCTCACAAATTGGCTTCCTTTATGATGTTTTTGTTGGAGGTGATAGAAGTTTATGACGAAATCGTTCAAAGGCTGACAAAAATTATTATCACTACATGCTTCGATGTCATATTTATGTTGGTTTTTATTGGAATGCTTGAGTCATAATTGTTCAACTACTTTTAAAAAAAACAGAGAAATGGTTGTGTTATCCCTTTGTAACACCCTAAAATTTATACTTTTGAGAATATGATTAAAATGATTTATTTATGAATTTTTGTGCACATGAAATATAGAAAAATAATATTTTTCATTATATTAAAATTCATCATAAGGAGTAGAAACTTGGATGTGCATACATGCCGGTGCATTTGATTTATTGCAATGAGTGGTTGAATCCAAAATTCAAAATGAATTCAAAATGCTTTTGAAAATGGCTTTGAAAATGGCTTTGAAAATGAATCCACCGTCCAGATCTAATCTAACAGCCCAGATCCATCGATACCCCTTCGCATGGAAGTTTTGCTAATTAAAGAGTCCCATGTTTTTTTAATATAGAACCCGCCGTCCCTGCACTTTTTCTAAAGAACGCATGTACTTCTTCTTTATCATGCCCGCAATCCCTGGCCCGAATTCAAAATCTGATTTTATTTATTTTAAATCAAAATTGAGTTCTGTTTATTTACAAAAATGTTACTGATCTCGTTTTAGCCATAAAATCTTCGTTTTAACTCCGATTTGACCCGTTCAAGTTGCGTTAGATTCGTAATTGAGTAATCTACATGTTCATCCTACTGTTAAATATATTTTCAACTTTTTAAATTCAAGGTTAGATTTAATCTATTATTTTATCAAAGGAAATCTTGTTTAATTCATAACTTTTTCGTTATAGGTCCGATTAGAGTGCTTTTCACGTCTGTGTGTTCGTAGCGAGACGTAGATTCGTTTTACAAACTTTTCATGTTGATTTTATGTTTGGTGTACTGTTATAATTTAGATCTATTGTTTGCTTCGTGTATGATTGCTTGGATGCTTATGTGGTGCTTTATGATCTTGTCCAGTTGGTGAGAAGTACGTTGATGAAATAGAAGAAGTTGGTGATCCAGAAGAAGTCTTTTGGAGGTTATAATTCAGTAAAAGAAGGATATGAGTTTTAAGGCAAGTATAGCATGGCATCATCCTTGTTGCCCTATTCACCTTAATATCATTTTAATCATATGCATGTGTCTACCTTGGCAACCGTAGTAATTTTCCTAGCTATTTGATATCCTGGATTCCTTCATTCCTATGGGATATGCATTGGGTAGTATGACGCTAGTGCTCAACTACAACCATGATCTTGTAACTTGACTAATGTACTATGCAATAGACACTAAAAGATGCTTTTTAGCAACATGGAACAAGGGGGCTAGAGCATTGGGCTATTTTTATGGTGCTCTAGATTCCTCTCCCTAAGGACTTATCTATAAGTGATCATCCAGGACTTACAGCACAGCTGTGAGGGCTACATGGGTCTGGCTTTAGCTTAGTATGAGGACTTTTTCTAGCTTGTTATAGGTTACATTTATTGGTGTAAGAATGGCTTGACGAATCGGGTATAGAACAACCTCTGTCCCCTTGTGTATAGGCTGCGTGTCATTGTGGCATCAGGAAGGGGGGTTCCTACATCTGTTTGCCGAGTGAATCTAATGGCCCTAACTTGTTAGACGAACCTTTGAAAGGCTTCATAGTGAACCCTACCGACCTTCCTTAGAAGTGGGTCAAGATATTAGCTACCTCGGGCGAAAGGGTAAATCACGACTCACAGTAAAAGTGTACATCCTCTGTAGAGTGTAAAACTGGTATATCAGCCGTGCTCATGGTCATGAGCGGCCTTGGAACCCTTACGGAATAGATGATCATTAATGGTTAATTATGATGAACACTGATGATACTGATGATGAAGATGCTCACTAATGATTACTATTTATACTATTCATCATTCATGTTTACCTGATCATGTGTTTATATGGACTTGTGATAAACTTGTTACTACTCCTATGCTAAAATTGTGACCATTAAAAGCTAATCGCAGTTAACCAGTGTCAGCCTTTTGAGCCTCATGAACCCCATGTTATATTTGTTGAGTACGACATGTATTTACGTTTGCTTTATTTTTCACATATTTTGAAAAAAAATCCCGGATGGGTACCAGGTTGGTAGAGTTTAGAGGAATTAGGCTTGTGATCAACCAGTCAGTTGTCCCTGTGAAATTGGAGTCTTCACCCGAAGATCGAAGTTGTCTTTCCGCTGTTTGTTGTCTAAGGTTATATCCTTTATATTAAGTACGTTATATATATTAAGCATTGTCTTTCGATACTACCCTTATTTGTAGCTATATGTGGGATTTGACTTCCTGGATTCACATATGATGTGTATCTGGTTTTGTTCTTAAAACCGGATGCTACACCCTTCTAGCTAGTGTGGATCACCCATAATAGGATGTCTGATGCATTTAAAATAGGATCTTTGGCTTTCATGCCTTTGTTTTGAAGGGAAATGATGATTTTGTCCTTATTTTTTTAACTTTGTAATTTTAACCCTATGTTTTGAAACTGAAAGAAGATTCCATCTATTCTGTAAAGTCCTCTTAACGGTGTTAACTTTTGGATGAAAAGACAAATTTACACTGACCATCATTTTGGATGAAAAGACAAAGTCGTGTTTATTGTAAGCCTGGACCAATCAGGGACTTGATGTCAGCAATCAAGATTCAAGAACACCCTAAACACGGTACTCATTCTGGAAAATGTTATTAATACATAATATTAAATCAAGAGCACCCAAACCAGGCAGCCCGTAAAGCAGCGCAGGTAGCTCATCATGGCGCCGTTTTATTTGAAATCCACACCATCCTTGGATGTACGTAACCATGCACCAAATCCGCAATCTCACGGACAGAAGGTCACCTGGTAGTTGCTGTTGCTGCTGCACGCATGGGTCCGGCAATCATCGTTCACAAACAGGCACGCTGTAGGGCAGGTTGGGCTCGTGCACACCAGACCAACGCCTGTGCTGCAGGAGAAGGCCATGGGCAGGTTGTAGCCGTCAATCACCGACATGTCGTAGAAGTCTCGGGTGCCGGCGCCGCCACCGATGCTGAACTCAGCCAGCGTCGTGGCTGGCTGCCCGGAGACGGTGCAGTTGAGGGCGCCAGCGCAGTCGCCGGTATCACAGTGGCCGCTTCCGCCACTGAAGGAACAGTTGGTGCGCCCCCAGAACCTGCCGGTGGTTCCAGCGGGCACCTCGACGGTCCACGCCTGGCCTGGGTCCAGCTGGGTGCCCCCGCCAACTGGGATGGCTGCTGGCCACACCGTGTAACTGCAGTTGTTTTTGACGGTGAAGATGGCGGCACTGGCACCGGCGGCATAGGTAGCCAGGAGGAGGAAGAGGACCGAGGACAAGGAAGTGGACGCCATGGATGCAGTAGTCAAGTGCTGCTGCAGTTTTCTCCTGGTGGGTGAGAGCTATGAAGCCTATGGGTAGAGCTGGGGGCATGGCTGTGTATTTATTGGCGTTTGACTGCAGTAGCCCTTGATGTCTTGCTTGTACTATTGTGGACCAATACAATCTTCGAACTGTACTGGCATGCCATAAATAATTTCTTATAGCTCTTTGAAATTTCATAGAGGTATACATAGTGTATGTACAGCTGCAGTTAAATGAAAAAAAACTACAAGCAAGTCAGCAATCTGCCCTGGAATTCCTCAAATTTTCCTCCTATTTTGAAAACTCTATCTATCAGTATTCACGTATGCGCCAACTTTATATCAGCTTACACGCTACATTGATGCATATATGTAGTCAAATCTAGCAACAATATGCTTATACATTGGGGCACCGACCAAGCAATTTTAATCCTTGCAAGATGACTATTGCAGTGAGACCCTCAGAATCTGTAGCTCCTCATACTGATGTGGGGTTCCCCTAGTGTTTAGCATTCAACATTTAGTATAAGTTTTTTCCTACCAAATGACTCATAGTGAGGATTCCACCATCTTGGTAGTTTTATTATTACTACTGAGTGCACTAGGAGAACTCCACCATCTTGGTAGTTGCATGGAGAGTTCAAACCTGAAAATAATGCGGGTCGGGAGTGATGGATTGGGAGAGCGGAGAGGGAATGAGTGAAATTTTTAAATCAATGGATGAGAGCACCCCTTGCCCCCAATATGGCTTGCTTTAATATGGCCAATGTGGTTAGTATAGTTTGTGCAAGAAAAACTCCATAATATCAGCTTGTGCAATCCTTGCATTGACCAATAAAGCGATTGAAGACTTCATCAAAATCCAACATTCAAGAACACCAAAAACTGAAGGGTCTTCATAGTTCATATACCCAAGTACAAACACGCGATGCATGCACGAATGGATTTACTAACTATATATCGTCTTGAAAAGAAGGTTTCGGTGCCACCAATGCAAAGGTTCACAAGAAATCACAAAGCACACATAAATGCATAGTATGGCGACATATAATTAGTGTTTAAAATATGTCTTCAAAACGTATTTTGCACATAATAATTCAAAGAAGGAAATTTTAAGTTGTAGTTAATCTTGTAAAGTAAATTATTTAGTGGTTTTACGATGTGGCAAAGCACAGGAAGTTGCACTGTCGGACTGCATACCAAACATAATTTCTTCAGGCGACTAATATTATGCCAAACTTCCAAGGATACCTGGAATTCCAAGGCATGCACGTGATGTAGTGTTGACCACCATCTATAGCCAGACACGTACACATAAATATGACTTTTCCAAAGCTAGCTATTGGTATCTCTCGTATTCCTTATATTGTGCTAATGCTATACATATCTCCCAACTTAGCACTCACGAGGTTATTATGTCAATCAATTGTTATTTTAGTCGTTTTCATTTTGTAAGGGATGCATTCTAGTAATTTGTATGGATACCAAGCTCGATCGAAAATACAATGCGCATTTTCACTAGATATTAGAACTAGCTGGAAAACTCACACCTGCAGCCATGGACGATTCACCATGTATCGTCTTATTGTCAACCTATTTTTATTCAATCTCCCACTCCTATATATGTATTCCATACTTGTACTAGCTATTTCTTTGTGCCGTGCAGTGCATGCATTGTTCCCTCTATCAAGGGCAGAAGATGACCTGGTACTGGTAGTTGCTGTTGCCTTTGCAGCTGGGGAGGGCTCTTGGATAGTGGTACAGTTCAAGGCAGTTGGGATCGTTGCACTGCAGGGCGACGCCTGTGCTGCAGGAGAAGTTCATGGCCAGGTTGAAGCCGTCAATCAGTGAGATATCGTAGTTCCTTGGCGCCACCACCGTTGCCTATGCTGAACTCGGCCAGCATCACCGGCGGCTGCCCCGAGACGTTGCAGGAGAGTCCCTATGTCACACAGGGTTTGTAGGGGCGTCTCAAGACCATTTGTAGGGGCGGTTTGGCCAGCCGCCCCTACCAAACCGTCTCTACAAATCATGCATTTGTTGGGGCGGTTCCCAGACCGCCCCTACAAATCGATTTGTAGGGGCAGCTATAGTACCAGCCGTCCCTATAATACATGTTTGTAGGGGCGGTTCAGTCTATAACTGCCCCTACAGTACATTTTCCCGACAAAAAAAAAATCAAATTTACGATTCAAATTCGACCAGAACATACATATGGCTCTGTTTGTTTCCGCGTATTCCCGCGTTCGCGTTGCGAGTAAGCGAGGAAAGCGAGATAATCCCGCCGAACGCCCTGCGACCAACGCGCGACCGGGAATCGCCCGTGGCATGGAACGCGCGAAACTTAACTACGACCCGCGATTCGCAAAACGCAGCCTCCGAACCGCGTTTGCTCAAGAGTATTATATAAACTACAAGCACAAGAGTATTATATAAACTACAATTACAAGTCCAATTCACAAGAATATATACAATCCATCATTAAATAGACATAATTCACAAGGTAAAACCAATGTCAAATTCCATACACATTGTATCAACGACCTAGAGCTAGCCTTTCAATCTCACGAAGGTGTTGGTACTGAGGATTACTTCCTAAGTCAGACTCTCGGTCATGGTAAGTGCCTTTGATGTGTACAATCTGGTCCAATATGAAGTTGCAAAGGTCGCCGACGAGCTCTCAGAGTTGGTCATCCTTGTATGGGTCTCTTTTCATTTCTTTTTCTTCTTTTCACTACAAGAGAACAAGTTTCGGTTGAGTATTTCATACCATGTACGAAGTTTTTATACTACGGATGAAGAGGTTCAAACTTAACCTTAAGGGGTGTCTCCTGTAGGCACCGGTGTTACTTATTATAGAACATACATAGTATCCACAATGTACACTCCTAGGCTTCTGCTTGGGGCACTGTGTGTTTTGCATATGGAAATGTTAAGTAATGCTTTTGATAACCATGTAATGAAGTACTGAAGAAGTAAGTCACACTTACCGTACATAGTGTTTTTATAGCCAGTTTTTTCTTCCTTACTGGTTCATGCCTTCCGTGATGTTTAGTGACATAGAACCTAAATGCCCTGTTCGAATTATTTTAGCAAATACAACTTATTAGTATCCAAAAGTGAACGTTATACGTCTTGAGAATCGATATGAAGTCTTTGTATGTCACCGGGTCCCTATCTATTGAATCAAAGACCCATGCCATGCTCCTCCCCACATCGACGCCTATACAAATACAGTGGTTACTGCATGGATTTAATCATAGAACTAGATAAGCTCTTTTGCATCGAATAAAATATATCGAACAAAGCTTTAAGTATAGAGTTGAACTTACTCGAAGTTGTATGGTAGCCATATAGTAGAGTGCTGTTGGAGATTTTTAAAAGCTAGGGCAATGTATGGCGAAACCTTAAGGGACTCTTGCCTTAGTTTCTTCGTACGGATGTCCTCTTTCTCCCGAAGGGTCTTTCCAGCAGCTAGCTCTTTGTCATCCAGTTTCCACTGTTTAGGGTAATTAAAATTTGTTTGTGCTATAGCTTGAGGGTTTATATACCTGGCTTTCACACTTGGTATTTGTTTTACAATGTGCACTTGCATTCTACAAATCACGGCGTGGGTTAGTTACAACAAAATTCAAAGATTATATTCATATCATATCCGGAGGACAAGGACTTACAGGCACCACGTGAGAATTAGATTCATCTCTATTGCTCCGAGGTGAAAGCATGTCTGCATGTCATTGAAATCAAAGACAATTTTCCTGGCTGGGCTTCCAAATGTGCCGGTGGGGAAGCATGCTTGTACGAGGTCTATGCTCATTAGTAGAACACGCAAGTACCAATCATGGAACCTTCTCATTCCAAGTGGTAGGCGCTGGATGTCCTGGTTTGGTAGGAAGGGCTTGCCTCTTTCATACATTTTCAGGCAATCCTTTGACCATTTGATGGCATCAACATTTGGATACTGCTTTGCTGTTTGGTGGAGTTTGCTAGTGATAGCCTCCTCAGAATCCTGTGATGAGACTTTTTTAAGATGGTTCTCAGGCTTGAACTGGTCATGGGAATACCACTTGTGCACCGATGAGACGTCTTTCATCGGAACATAAATTGGTCTTATGGTGATTGGATGCTTCTTTCAAAGATCCCATTTAGGCACATCCTCATCTTCTTGTGCATCACCTTCTTCAGGAGGCATTCGTTGTTCATGTATCGGCTGTGCTTGTTGAGAAGACTGTGGCATCTAATTATGCACTTGCTCGGTACGAGCTAGAGAAGGTTGTGGCTTATCAGGCACATGCTCGCTAGGAGGCGGGGAAGAATGTGGCATCTTAGGAATGTGGTGGTCACGAGATGGTGAAAATATCACCCCGTCCTCAACAACTCGCTCTAAATTTGGGAGAGGGGGAGGCGGCGAAGAAGCAGTCAATATAATGTCCCATTTGTGCTAGAGGATGAACTGCCCCATTACGTCTCCGAGTAACACTAGCCCCTCGGGAGTTGCGTAGTCTATCCTCCACTGCATGAACTCAGGCTTCATGGTATGCACCTCGACCCTAGTGTAGTTCGGCAATATCTTATTATTGTGGTGTAAGCCACCGGGAGGATGTGTCACACCCATTGCCACCTCCATCACAATGTTCTGCCGTCCGCTGAGAAACACCAAGGTGCAACCAGTTGGTTCCTGAATGCAATCGATGGGGGTTGTGGCTGCAGTGGAACCTTAGCTGCTAGGAACTTTTAGAGGGCTACCAACTAATGTCAGTTCCCCCAGCGGCGTCATTAATGTCCGTGGCTCTGTAGATAGTCCTTGCTCCTCTAGCGCCTTCACAACTAGAGCCTTTACTTGGTGCTCAAGATTAGTCTCCCGGTCTCTGCCATGTTTCTTGTACATGTGCCTATCCTCTTTGAATCCGTGCTTCCAGGTCATCCTTTTCCCTAGCCCCCGGTGCGGCCTGTGTGCTCCTTGTTTCCCAAGCCAAGGCTAAGCTCTCCCC